CCTGGAAACTCCAGGCCCAAGTCCAGTCTAAACACCTTTCCCCACCTTCCTTGCCACCAGGTGAGCCCCTAGCAATCCACAGGGGTGGAGAAAATGGTCTACCCTGGGGATGCCTTCCAAGATCTCACAATGTCTTGGCCAGTCTACACAGGACATCCAGAGGCTAGCAGAACCCCACAGCCCTGCCTGAACTTCCACAAAGGCAACCCAGCAAGAATGGCTTGGTTCCAGGCCGTGGTGCCTCCAGGCTTTTATGATGCATACAATCTATGAACAATAAGTAGTATTGTTTGGATTTGTTTGAAAAAATTTTATATAAAACATTTCACACTGAATGCATTGTTTAGTTACTTGCTTTTTAAAAAATTTAACATTATTTTTCCAAGTATTTTTCACAACTTAGAAAAAAATCAACTCTATTGAGGTAGGTATTAGTTTCCTAAGGCCAATATAACAAAATGTCACAAACTGAGTGGCTTGAACAACGGTGTTTATTTCTGCCAATTCTGGAGGCCAGAAGCCTGCGGCCAGGCTGGTTCCTGCTGGAGGTTCTGAGGGTGGATCTGGTCCTTGCCTCTGCTGGCAGAGGGTCCCTGGTGCTCCTGGGCTTGGCAGCAACACTCCACTATTGGGTTCCACCTGACCCCGGCCCTCTGGGTCTCTGTGACTCAAATGTCCCTCTACTTTCATTGATAAAGACACCAATCATCTGATTTAGGACCCACCCTGAATCCAGGATGATCCATCTTGAGATCCTTAATTTATTTGTACAAAGATCCTATTTCCAAATAAGGTCATATTTTTAGGTACTGTATGTGTCTTTGGAGGCACAATTTTAACACTACAAGAAATAATTTACATATAATTAAACTCACTAATTTTAAAGGTTTCTGTTTCTTTTTTTTTGGGGGGGGGTGTTGCTGTGGATAGAACCCAGGACCTTGCATATGTTATACAAGTACTGTGCACTGAGGGACATCCCTAGTCCCTAAAATGTTTCTCAGATTTACTCAGAATGATGCATTTGAATATATTTTGTGCTTATTACCAGTTGTGTAATATTGCATTCAATGTTTAAGTCACAGTCCTCTCTGTCTTTGAACCTAGTGGTATGTACAATATAACTCAGCTATATCCCTAATCCTTTATATTTTATTTTTATTTTTTTGGTACAGGGGATTGAACCCAAGGGTGCCCAACCACTGAGCTACATCCCCAGCCTTTTTTTATAATATTTATTTTTCAGTTGTAGGTGGACACAATACCTTTATTTTATTTTTATGTGGTACTGAGGATCAAACCCAGTGCCTCATGAATACTAGGCAAGTGCTCTTCCTCTGAGCCACAACCCCAGCTCTCCAGCCCTTTTATTTTTATTTGAGATAGGGTCTCTCTAATTTGCTCAGCGCCTTGCTAAGTTGCTGAGGCTGGCCTCAAACTTGCAATTCTCCTGCCTCAGCCTCCTGAGTTGCTGGGGTTTCAGGTGTCAGGTAACACCCAGCTCTCCATTTTCCTATCAATAAACACTTCGGCTTTCTTTTTTTTTTTTTAATATTTATTTTTCAGTTTTCGGTGGACACAACATCTTTATTTTATGTGGTGCTGAGGATCGAACTCAGTGCCCCACGCATGCCAGGCAAGCGCGTTACCGCTTGAGCCACATCTCCAGCCCAACACTTCGGTTTTCAGCACTTTTCTCCAACGATATAGACAATAACTTACTGAGCACCTCTAAGGACATGTGGGGGGTGTTCCACTCTGTCGTACACCTTTGGATGGAACTAGTAGGTGGAGGGGTTCTGGTGACCTCTCATTGTGTATTAACCACCATACAAGTTCGAGGCTTAAAACAACAGTTTTTGTTTGTTTGAGGTACTGGGGCTGGAACCCAGGGCCTCCTGCATTCTAGGTAGGCACTATACAACTGAGCTACTTCCCAGCCCACAGTGTTTTTCTCCCTCACAGTTCTGAGGTTTGGCTGGGGTCTGCTGGGTGGTTCTTGCTGCTGGGCTTTCGGGAACCTGTAGGTGGATGGTGGCTGGGGCTGATGTCAACAGAAGGTGTCTTCACCTAGGTATCTGGTGGCTGGGTTGGCTGCCAGAAGCCTTGGGATACAGACAGGATTAGATGCCACATCTCACTGAGAGGAAGGGCAAAGAGTTTGAAGCCATCTTTGTCCCCCACAGAGGCTAGGCTCCTTGGCCTTGTTTAATATCATCAAACTGGTTTCCCAAGTGCTCAGGTTTTCTCTTCTCTTTCTTTCTTTCTCTCTTTCTTTCTTTCCTTCCTTCCTTCCTTCCTTCCTTCCTTCCTTCCTTCCTTCCTTCCTTCCTTCCTTTCTTTCTTTCTCTGAGGCTGGAACCCAGTGCCTCACATGTGCTGGTTGAGCATTGAACTACTGAGCCACAACCCCAGCCCCAAGCTCAGTGTTGTTTTTTTTTTTTGTTTGTTTGTTTTGTTTTTTTGTTTTTAGTTACAGAAGGATACAATATCTTTATTTTTTAATATGTTTATTTATTTTTTAAAACAATTTTTGTATCAATTTTATTGAAGTACAATTAACATACAGTAAGATTTGCCAGTTTTCTTTTTGTGTGTGTGTGCATGGGTGCTGGGGATTGAACCCAGAGGCCTTGTGCATTCGAGGCAAGCACTCTACCAACTAAGCTATATCCCCAGCCCTATATTTATTTTTTAATTGTAGTTGGACATAATATCTTTATTCTTATTTAAATTTTTTTTAGTTGTAGATAGTCACAATATCTTTATTTATATATTTTTCTGTGGTGGCTTAGGATTGAACCCAGGGCCTCACACGTGCAAGGCAGGTGCTGTACCACTGAGCTACAGCCCCAGCCCCATAAAACCTTTATTTTATTTATTTATTTTTATGAGGTGCTGAGGATCAAACTCAGGGCCTCACAAGAGTGAGGCAAGCACTCGACCACTGAGCTACAACCCTAGCCCTCCTCGCTCAGGTTTTCATTTGACACTGTAATAAAGAGTTCGACTCCATTTTTTTTTTCTTCCTGGTACCATGTATTGATCTCAGGGGCATTCAACCACTGAGCCACATCCCCAGCCCTATTTTGTATTTTATTTAGAGATAGGGTCTCACAGAGTTGCTTAGTGCCTCGCTGTTGCTGAGGCTGGCTTTCAACTTGCAATCCTCCAGTCTCAGCCTCCCCAGCCGCTGGAATTACAGGCTTGTGCCACCCCTGCCCGGCGGACTCCATTTTTGATGTGGGACTGCTAATTACTTCAAAGCCCCTTCCTCCCTCTTCCCCTTTGCTCACATCCCGGCAAACTGAGGAGGCCTTAAGCCTTCTCTTCCAAAGTCTGGAGGGAATTTTAAACCTGGAAAGTCCTGGCCAATTCCAGGGAACCTTTGCCCCAGCCTCAGCCATCATCCCAATGAAAGCCCCTCTCAAACCATTTCCAGACCTGTGGAAGAGCTTGCCTGTGGCCCGGAAGGCCTCAGCACAGGTAAGCAAACTCTGCATGTGCCTCACCAGTCTCCAATCTGAACCAAATTCGGGGTGAAGGGTTGGTCCCATCCTAAAGCAACCACAAAACATTCCCATCATTGAGCGCTGATTTCACCTTTGCCACACCTAGCTAACACCTGTCACCAGCAGGTTTTTTAAATTTTGCCAATCATCTGATGGCAAACACAGGATCTTTATGAACTATATCCTGTTCCCTCAGAATTCTTGCACTGAAGCTCTAACCCCAGTGACTGACAACAGGACTGTATTGGGAGCCAGGGCCTATAAAGGGTGATCAAGTTAAAACAAGGCCTTTCGTGTGGCTCAATGACTGGTGGCTTTGCAAGAGGAAGAGCCATCAGGGAGTGTGCTGGCACAGAGAGATGACCATATAAAGAGACAGCAGGGTGGCCCTCTGCAAGCCCAGGAGGGAGGTCTCAGAAAAAACCAACCCTGCTGGCCCCTTGGTCTTGGACTTCCAGCTTCCAGAAGCATGAGAAAATAAATTTCTGTGTAAGCCACACAGTCTGTAGTATGTTATCATGGCAGCCCTGCTGGCTATTTTGCCTAAAATGCAGGTGGGAGCAAGCTGTGGTGGCACACACCTATAATCCCAGGGACTCCGGAAGCTGAGGCAGGAGGATCGAAAGTTTGAGGCTAGCCTCAGCAATTTAGCAAGGCCCTCAGCAATTCCGGGAGACCCTGTCTAAAAATAAAACAAAAAGGGTTGGGGATGTGGCTCAGTGGTCAACCACCCCCTGGGTTCAATCTCCGGTGCCGAAATAAATAAATAAAGGTAGGTGGGGCTGAGGATGTAACTCAGTGGAAGGGCCCTTGCCTAGCAAGTGTGAGGCCCTGGGTTCAGATGGATCCCAGTACTGCAAACACAAAGAAATAAGATGCGGATGGAGCCCCTTGGGGCGCCCCCCTCCTGGCCACTCCCGGAACTGCGCGGTCAAACTCACTCGGGACTCCGCTCCTGGCCCGGAAGCCCTCGGCCTCCAGAAGTCTCTGGGTTCTGCAACAGCCGGCCCGAGCCCTGGACGTTCGGGACGCTTGGGGAGGCTCTGCTGGTGCCCAGGTCTTACCATCAGTTGCCTCCCATCCAGCTCCTCCTTCGTCCGCTGCTGCGGGCACCCGGCAGGGACCCGAGCTTCTGCGTGGAGGTTTTGGATTTAAATGCCTAGTGCCCGGGAAAGGGACCGCGGTCCCAGAGCACCGCCGGCGTCTTGGGTGCCAACACCGCGGTGCATCAAGGCAGAGATGAGCGCAGCCACGAGGGCGGGTGGAAGGATTCGGGACCGGCAGCCGCTTGGCGCACAGCGGGGAAGGACACCTGTCTTCCCAGCCTCCTGCTGCCCGGAAACCCCCCGGCACTCCATTGCCCACCGCGGGTCCCGGGAATGCTGCGGGCGGAGGAGGGTGGCCGGGTCGCCCCTCCCGGGCCTTGCGGTCCTGAGAAAGCAGAAGCTAGCTCCTCCAGGGAATCCCACTGGCTTAGGCTTTTGGGAAGAGAAACTTCAGCCCGGGCAGAGGGAGGAGAAGCCTGGGGGCGCAGAGTGCCCCACCCGCGCATCCTGCCTTCCTTTGGCGCTTTGAAGAGCTGGGAGGAGAGTCCCTGGGTCCCGGCGAGGGGCGGGGGGCCACCGCCTGGTCCGCCCCTTCTCGCTGGACGCCCGAAGATTGGGCAGTTTCCCGCACCGCTCCTGGGGGCGATCCCGCCCCGCCCGGCCACACCCCGCCCTCGGACCGCGAGGGTAGAAGAGGGCGGCCGCTCAGTACCCGGGCCGGACGCGACGCCGAGCGGCAGCCCGGCTGACCTAGTCACTGGACATTCACCTCCTCCGGGCCCTTTCAATCCTCTCGAGATCCTCCGCCCAACCCGGACCCCGCGTGCGACCCTGTTCCCCTGCTCCTCTGCTGTCGCCGCCCTGCATCCTCTCCCATCCTTCTCAGGACCTTTAACCCCTCCTGTCCATCCTATCCACCCGGCGAAATCCTCTCTGGGCCCCTGACCTCCTTCCCCAGGTCCCCGAGCGACCTGGGTCAGGCCTCCTTCGGGCCCCCTGGTTGCCCTGGCTGAAGCGCGCCATGCGGCCGCTGGCACTCGGACTCCGATTCCTGACGCCGCTGCTTCTGCTCGCGCGGTCAGCACCTGCCTCTGAGCCCTCGGCGCAGGACGTGAGCCTGGGCGTGGTGAGCCGGGGTCCCCGGTCCTCTGGGATCCTCAGGGAGGCTGGGAGAGGAAAGCCGAGGTCCTGGACTTTTGGGTTTGGAGGATGGAGGGGCCAGATTAAAATGTCCGAAGAGTGACTGGGGATGGAGCCTGGGGACCCGGATTATTGAATCTGTCAGTTTTGGAGCCCGGAATTGGAGGTCAGGAAAGGAGCTGGAATGGGATTCGGGCCTCAATTCCTGGGTCTAAATGAAGACTGGCAAACCTGGAGCTGGAAGGTGGGGACCTTGGGGAGGTGGAACAGGCCTGCATCCCAGAACTGAGGGCTCTGGCTCTGGAAGGGAGGGGCTTCCAGGATGGTGGTGAGCTTCTGACTTCATCCGTCCCCGCTGATCCTAGGACTGGCTGAGACTCTATGGCTACTTACCACCACCAGATCCTGCCCAGGCCCAGCTGCAGAGCCCTGAGAAGCTGCGTGATGCCATCAAAGTCATGCAGAGGTTCGCTGGGCTGCCTGAGACAGGACACTTGGGTAAGTGCTGCAGCCCTGCCTCTGCCCTTAACCTGACCATCATCATCCTGCAGTCCTTAAACTTCAGCGCTCTTGAATCACAGGAGCTTATGAGGATGCTGAGTTCAAATTCCAGCCACAAGCCCCTGTGGTTCTCAGGCATTTATCTCCCCCATCCCCCAAACACCCTGAGGGATTGAACCCGGGACATTTTACCACTGGACTACATCCCCAGACCTTCCTATTTTTTTATTTTAAGACAGGGTCTTGATAAGTTGCCCAGTCTGGACTGGAACTTGAAATCCTCCTGCCTCAGCCTCCTGAGTAGCCTGGATTACTGATGAGTGGCACTGTGCAGGGCATTCAACTTTCAGTACACCTTTACTGAGAATCTCTTTATGTTTTCGTCTATTTTAGGCTCCACTGTTAAAGTACTGTTGGAAATAGGCCCCTGCATTCCTGGAGCTAACATTCTGGAGGGAGAAAGAAAGGCAGATCAGGAACATAAATGTGCAAGATGGTTTCAAATAATCGTGTTTTGAAGAAAATAAAATGCTAATAATATCCAGAGCTGGGTACTCCCCCCACCCCCCACCCCCCGCTTTTTTTTTTCTTTTTCTTTTCTTTCTTTTTTTTTTTTTTTTTGTACTAAGGATTGAACTCAGAGGCACTTGACCCCTGAGCCACATCCCCAGCCCTTTTGTATATTTTATTTAGGGACAGAGTCTCACTGAATTGCTTAAAGCCTTGCTTTTGCTGAGCTGGCTTTGAACTTGAGATCCTCCTGTCTCAGCCTCCTAAACCACTGGGATTACAGGTGCTGAGATTATAGGCGTGTGCCACCACGCCTGCCTGGCACTTTTTCCCCTCTGTGATGTTGAGCTTTAAGCATTCTAGGCAAACGCTCTACCACTAAACCACATGCCCAGCACCTTTTTTTAATTCTGAGACAAGGTCTCCTAAATTGCTCAGGCTGGCCTTGAGCTTTCAGTCCTCAGCATCTCAAGTAGCTAGGCCACACCCAGCTAGGCCTCTGAAAGATGTCACATGATGCAAGACCACAAAAGGGAAGAGTAGTCAAGGGAAGATGTAAGAGAAAATGTCTCAGCAAGTGAAAAGACCCCGGGGCAGGCACAACTTTATGTGCCTGGAGTAAAAGAAACCTGAAGGGCTTAGGTAGGGGTCTAATTGGAAACCTTGGTGCATGACTGTAATCCCATAGATTTAGCCAGACCAGCCTCAGCAGTTTAGCAAGACTCTCAGCAACTTGTTGAGACCCTGTCTCAAAAAATAAATAAAATAGAGCTTTGTGGTAAGGCACCCCCAGGTTCAATCCCCAGTATCAAAAAAAGAACTTGAATAAAGGGACTCAAAAATGTTTGGGTTTTGATTCTGAGTGATAATAACCAGAAAAGGATTTGAAGAAGAAAAACAACTCAGTCTGACTTGCAGTTTTAAACTTGGTTGCTGAGGGTGGAGGTGGGGCTCCTGGAGAACAGGAAGAAGGCAGTTGTAGCCCCAGATGGCCTGGAGTGGGGGGTGTAGCCAGAAGCAGTTGAATTGAGGGCATGCATTTTAGAGGTAGGTGCTAAGGATTGAACCTAGGGGCGCTTAACCACTGAGCCACATCCCCAGCCCTTTTTATTTTGAGACAGGGTCTCACTAAGTTGCTTAGGGCCTCAATAAATTGCTGAGGCTGCCCTTGAACTCACAATCCTCCTGCCTCAGCCTCCCAAGTCAGTGGGATTACAAGCATTTGCCACCATGTCTGACCTCTGTGGAGTTAAATGGGGTGGAAAAGGAGCTTAAGAATGTTAACTAGGGGAAGATTCTGCCTCATTCACTCTTGGAACAGCCTAGAACAGGGTCTGGCATCTGTATGTTCTCAAGTTTTATTTATCACCTCAACCAATAATATGTGGTTTGACCTTAATTTGAAAATGAGGAATTTGATCCCCAGCACAGAAAAAACAAAACAAAACAAAACAAAAAACTAAAAATGAGGTGGTAGCTGGGAATGGAGCTGAACTAGAAAAGGGGGTTCCCAGGAGACCTAACCTGGGACAGTGGCTTGGCACAGGGGTCGGAGATCTCTCCTAGTCTGGGGACTTGGTACTTGATCAGCATCCCATGATGACTTTACCTCTCAGAGCCTCCCTTTCCCCATGAATAAGGATAACTGGTACATGGTTAGGGTAGGCTTTCCTGCTGCTGACCCTGTCCCTCATGGTCTCCCACAGACAAAAGGACTTTAGAAACCATGCGCAAGCCCCGTTGCTCCCTGCCTGACGTGCTGGGGCCTGCGGGGCTGGTTAGACGGCGCCGCCGCTATGCTCTGAGTGGCAGTGTGTGGAGGAAGCGAATCCTGACCTGGAGGTAGGTCCTGGGGCCTGCCCTCCCCTGGGCCTGCCTGCTGGGTCCCAGGCTTGCATGTCTGCCCTTGCCTCTATCGCCACCTGCTCCCCTCCTCTCTCCTCAGGGTACAGTCCTTCCCCCAGAGCTCCCTGCTGAACCCTCAGATAGTGCGGACCCTCATGAGCTATGCCCTGACCGTCTGGGGTGTTGAGTCAGGCCTCACGTTCCAGGAGGTGAATTCCCAGCACCAGGAGGCTGACATCCTCATCGACTTTGCCCGGGCCTACCACCAGGACAGTTACCCCTTCGACGGGCTGGGCGGCACCCTTGCCCATGCCTTCTTCCCTGGGGAGCACCCAGTCTCCGGGGACACTCACTTTGATGATGAGGAGATCTGGACTTTTGGGTCGCAAGGTAAAACCTCCCATCTTTGGAGAGGTCCTCTCCCCAGTTCCTGGGCTGCTGGTGGGAACCTAAGAAGGGAAGGGGCAGCTGGGGCTGGTGACCAGGCTCTGTCAGGAATGACAGCTAGTCAGACCCTGTGTTGATGACTGTGTCCCGCAGCATGAAGCAGGGGGCTTTTTATAAAAAATTTTTATTTTTGTGGTTCTGAGTTTGGAACCCAAGTTAAAGATATGTCTGAGGTTTAAATGAATTGATCAGTTGAGGTTGTATAAGTTGGGGGTCTCCAGAGAAATTACCAAGAAGATGTGTGTGTGCGATGTGTGTGTGTAGAGATTTATTGTAAGGAATTGGCTCCCAGGGATTGTAGGGTGAACGAGGCCAATCTGTAGGGCAGGATGGAAACTTAGTTGGGTTTCTGTCACAGTCTTGAGGCAGAACTCTTTCCCCAAAGCCCTCAGTCTGCTCATGGGGAGTGACCTGTTTGGACACAGACCACCCCAATTGGAGTGACTTGCTTTACTGATAGTAGATGTTAGTCGTATCTTCAAATTACTTTCACAACATCTGAACTCGTTTTGACCAAACCCCTGGGCACCATGGCATGGCCAAATTGACACATAAAATTAACCACTGCAGAGGACTACCAGGTGCCTAGCTCTCAGCTGGACTGACTTACAGAGCCTAAGCCACCTTTCTGTCAGCAGCTGAGGCAAAAGAATAATAGGCAGTTACTACACACAGTGACCCAATGGCCCGCAGTCACAGCTGAGGAAGTCCTAGAGCCTAGGGCTGCTCAGAGGTGGCCTCCTAGAAGGGGTGACTCCATTCATTCAATATATATAAACATGCACTGAGCACCAAGAAGCACGGCTGCATGGGTGGGTGGGTGGGGTGGGGGCAGACAGGACTCTCTCAATGAGAAAGCGAAGCCAGTGAGCGAGCAGAGTGCCAGGTACTCAGGAAGGGGGGGGGAGACACAGCCTGAGGCAAGAAGGCAAAAATCTGGCTTTGGAAAGGAGATGGCATAGGATGAATGGTGGGTCATAGATCATAACGGGCCTTCAAGAACAAGTGGAAGAATTCGGACAGTGGGGCTCTGGAGGCTTTGGGGAGTTATCAAAGGATTTTTGTTAAATTTTTTTTTGGTAGTTGTAAATGGACAGAATGCCTTTATTTGTTTATTTTTATGTGGTGCTGAGGATCAAACACAGTGTCTCACACATGCTAGGCAAGCGCTCTACCACTGAGCCACAACCCCAGCCCCATCAAAGGATTTTGCATTCTAGAAATATTGCTGGATGTATGAGGGGGTGGAGAGAGACAGGGAGGCAAAGCTGCTGCAGGGTCCAGGTAAGAGATGGAGGTGGGCCATGGGGTGGGGGTTTGGATCTGAGGGAAGCCAGGAGGGATGGGATGGGCAAAGATCTGGCTGGATCCTGGGGACCAGGAGACAAGGAGGGTGGAATGACATCCAGGATCCAGCACAGGTCCTGGAGGATGGCTGCTGTTTGTGCACATGGGGGAGGGCAGCAGGCTGGCCCAAGGTGGGAGGAGTGCAGGTGTGGAGCCTGTTTGCCGTGCACCAGTGTTCCATGTGCATGCTACAAGCACTGAGAATCATGCTCTAGACTTGGGCTCCTCTGTCCTAGGTCAGGTTCCCTGGAAGTGAAGGCCTAGATGGAAATTGTTATGCAAGCAGTTTCTCAGGGGCATGCACTTGGGAAAGGGAAGGAAGAGAGAGTGAGAAGCTGAGCAAGGATGTGGTCTCAGCTGGAGAGGAGACTGCTCCCCTGGAGCTCTCTAGTGGGAACAGCCTGGGGCAGGGCTGACTCTTCCCAGATTTATATTGCCAATCGTTGTCTGTGAGCTGCTGGGGGAGCCTGAGTGGGGCAGGGGCAGCTGGAGTTGGTGCTCAGGCTCTGTCAGGGCTTGACAGCTCATCAGAGACTGCATCCATGACAGTGAGGCAATGTCCTGCAGAATTAAACAGGTGGGCTTTTAAATTTTTTTATTTATATATTTTTGTGGTTCTGGATATGGAACCTATGGCCTCTCAGATGCTAGGCAAGTGCTGTATCACTGGGCTGCACCCATAACCCAAGCAGGTGGGCTTTGAAGCTGAATCAAGTCAGGGTTCCTCCACTTGTAATGTGTACAAGTTACTTAACCACGTTGCACTCAGTTTCCTCAGCTGAGAAATGGGGGATGGGAACAGTACCTGCTGGCAGTGTGGTCTGTAGATTAGATGAGTAATCCACCTCCAGCCCTTTACTTGCTCAGAGCCTGGTGCAGAACAGTGCTTTAAGCACTGCCAACCCTTATTAGAGCTGGACCTGGGGGCAGAGTTAGTGTCCTTGGGGTTTGTAAGCTTACCAGGAAGAAAATGTAGCATGTAAAGAAAGGTTAAGGACAGAGCTGTGGAGAGCCCCAGGACTAAGAGGTGGGTGGCTGGGGAAGAGGAATTAACAGAGATGGAGAAAGAACAGGCCAAAAGGTGATGAAGAACAAGAATCAAGGAGGAAGTGGTCAGCAATGGCTACAGCAAACAAACCCAGTAAATTACGGGCATTAGATTTGGTCATCCAGGAAACAAGTGACATTCTTAGTGTCTGCAGACTCCATCAGTGCAATGGGTTCAGGTATGAAAGGAGCTAAAGAACTAGACTGAGTTTAGATTATTGACTAAGGAACATGGCTGAGGAGGGACTGCAGAAAGCAGTGTGACTGGGTATCTGCCCCAGGTATACTACAAGTCACAGATTCCATTGGACTTGATGAAACAGGATGTGTGCTTGTTAGCATCTGTCATCTGAAGGTGGGACTTATGACTGGGTTGCAGCTTTGGGGCCTTGTGGACATGGAAAGGAGGCTGAGGGGAGAGAGTAGAGGAGTTGCTTGCTGGGACAAGGGCAGGAATGATAGGAGGTGTCAGGTCCCTTGCACACTACCCATCAGGACTCTGGTGGGGCTAGGCCTGCACGGTTGTGTAATTTCCCCAGCTGCATAGTGTGAGAAGGGTGCAGGAAGGGGTGCCTGGCTCAGAAAACCCCATGTCACCAAAGTAGAGATGAAGCAAGGGAAGAAGGTGAGAGAACAAAGCTCTCGTCGTATTGAGTCTCCAAACTTCCTCCAATTTCTCAGAAAAAGGATTTGGAGCAATAATAAGACCTGCAGTCAATGTGGAAATTGATCAGACATTTGCAGTTTTGAGGGTGCACAGGCAGGGCATTTGGCCTCAATCCCCCCTCTGTAAAATCAGGATAGGAAGTAGAGGTTTGAGAGGTAAATGAGGCCTCTTAGGATTTACCGCTTCCATACTTAGGTATCAGCCCTCAGGGGCTTAGAGAAACTTGCTTTTCAATTCACCAGGCCATTTCCAATAATGCTGTTTTCAATGTTGCTAGCCCTAGTTAGAGATTCCCACAAACTAGATCAACATCTGCAGAAATATATGCCCACTGATGTGTTGCCTGGCTCTGTCACTGCCTCTTCTGGGTGGGGCCTTTGACCGGAGCAGGAGCCAGGCAGATCGATGAGGAACTAGGCCCTCAGTCGCTGGAGCTGGATCTCCAGGGAAGAAGCTTCTGTGGTGGGAAGAGGCTGAGAGAGAGGCTGTGGTCTGAGAGTGCATGCTGGAGGGAGCTCCATGTTCCTGTGGAGATGGAACAAGACCAGAGAGTGGAGGGGCAGGGACCCCAGGGAGGGGGAGGGGGGAGGGGAGAGGGGAGCTGTGGGCAGGGGAGATGGCAGAGGAGGGGGACAGAGGATGTGGGAATGTAGGCCAAGGAATAGGGGCAGAGGAAATGAAAGGTGAGTGGGAGGGACCTGGGTTGGGGATGGGGAACAGGGACCTCTGCTCATGGACTAGATCTTAGAGGAGGGAATGCTCCAAAGCACCGGTTTCCTGGAGAGAACTACAGGCACCCAGGGTTCTTGCTGCTCTGAGCTTCTATATGCAGTCTTCCCTTCAAGAGAGGGGCTGCACTTGTGTAAGGTCACTCTTCCTCTATCCATTCTTGGGTCTCTTCATCCCTGTACCCAGTATCAGCACCACCAACTAGGGCAATTCAAAAATATTTGCTGAAAGAATTCAGTAATGATAACATGGTTCAATGAGGGGTCAGGGCAGAGGAGGCTGGAGTCCCCTCCCAAGGGTCTTTCAGTGCTTCCTGCAGACCAGCAGGTCCCACTTCCCATGCATTCTTTCCAAGTGTGGGGTGCCCTCAGCTCCAACCTTCCTTTCCCCTCCCCAGATGGTGAGGGTACTGACCTGTTTGCTGTAGCTGTTCACGAGTTTGGCCACGCCCTGGGTCTGGGCCATTCCTCCGCACCCAACTCCATTATGAGGCCCTTCTACCAGGGCCCAGTGGGTGACCCTGACAAGTACCGCCTGTCCCAGGATGACCGTGATGGCCTGCAGCAGCTGTATGGTATGGCAATGAGGGACCTACCCTGAGTTGCTCTGCTGTGGCTCTCCCATGGCCTCTGAGCAGGCCCAGGGAGCCCACACCTGTCTGACTCTTCTTGCAGGGAAAGTGCCTCAAACCCCAAATGACCAGCCCACAAGGAAACCCCTGATTCCTCCAAGGCCCTCCGTCCTGCCCCCTGACAGGTGAGTTCCCCATCAGCTGTGTGACCTTGGATGACCAGTTCCCTAGTCCCAGTGTCCTAGGTGAGATGGAACAGTGAGCCCTGCCTTTCAGGACTGTGGTGGAGGGTAAGGGATGAAGAAGCCCGCCTTCTGCTCACTCACCTTTCCTACCCAGCCCCTCCGCACCTGTCCCTGATCGATGTGAGGGCAGTTTTGATGCCATTGCCAACATCCGCGGTGAAACCTTCTTTTTCAAAGGTAAGTCCCTTTGGTTGGTCCCTGACTTCCTGGGCACCATGGTTGGCTTCCTGTACACTTCAGGTGACCCCCACCACAGGCTTCAACGTTTCCTGGGAAGAGTGACTTTTAGTGCTAAAAAATGGGAACTCCTGGGCAAGCCAAAAGGAGTCCGTCGCCCTAGATTGAGTCGCCCTTGATTTCCAGATGGACACCCCAGATGGACAGATGGGTAGTGTGCAAGGGACCTTGTGGGGTGGGAAGACCCAGCCCTCCCTCGGCCACACACTCTAGGCGGGGGCGGGGCGTCCTCCTATCATGTCATGACCCCATGCCCTCCCCTTCTTACCCCTAAGGCCCCTGGTTCTGGCGCCTCCAGCCCTCAGGACAGCTGGTGTCGCCCCGGCCTGCCCGGGTGCACCGCTTCTGGGAGGGGCTGCCCTCGCACGTGAGGGTCATCCAGGCCGCCTATGCTCGGCGCGGAGACGGCCGAATCCTCCTTTTCAGCGGTGAGTGGGACCCCAGGTGGCCGGGTCCGAACCGGCTCCGGAACCGTGCTGGTGACCAGGCTGCCTCCCTCCAGGCCCGCAGTTCTGGGTGTTCCGGGAGCGGCAGCTAGAGGGCGCAGCGCGCCCGCTCGAGGAGTTAGGGCTGCCGCCGGGCGAGGAGGTGGACGCCGTGTTCTCGTGGCCATTCAACGGGAAGACCTACCTGATCCGGGGACAGCAGTACTGGCGGTACGACGAGGCGGCCGCGCGCCCGGACCCGGGCTACCCGCGCGACCTGAGCCTCTGGGAAGGGGCGCCTCCCGCCCCCGACGATGTCACTGTCGGCAACACAGGTCCGGGGACGCAGGGGAGGGGGCTGGCGGTCGCCGGCGCCAGGGGGACTCCGGGTGAAGCAGGAGGGGCGCGCCTTGGGGCAGGCCTGGACCAACGCCTGAAAGGTCTCCTCCGCCACAGGTGACACCTACTTCTTCAAGGGCACCCACTACTGGCGCTTTCCCAAAGGCAGCGTCAAGACCGCGCCGGACTCCCCGCAGTCCATGGGGCCCAAGTGGCTGGACTGCCCGGCCCCCGACTTTGGCCCTCGCACTCCTGAGCCCCCCAAACCGACCCCCAAGCCCGGAACCTGTGATTGTCGGTGCGAGCTCAACCAGGCCTCCGAGAGGCCGCCCGCGCTGCTCCTGCTGTCCCTCCTGCCCCTGCTGGCGGGCGTCCTCTTCTGCTGAGGGCAGGGACGTCCTGAGCGGAACAGCGCCCTACACCGAGCAGGGCCGGAGTCTCTGCTGGACCTTGCGTGGGGCTGTGAGTCTGTCCCCTCCGCGTAGCTCCCTCCAGCACAGAACTGGACAGATTCCCTGGGGAGGTCCGGCTGCCGCCTGGACTTTACCTCCAGTGCTCTCTGGGTGGCACCCGCCGCCAATGGGCACCAGCGCGCGGTGACCTCCGTGCTCCGTGGGCACCTGCAAGAGCAGCCGCCTGCGACGGTGCAGACTCTACTCCTGAGCCTGGGGAAGGGGCGGGATGCCGAGGCAATGGGGGCGAGGAGGGGGCGAGAGGCAGAGCTAAGCGCGGGGACTGTACACTTACACCATGACGTACTCTGTGGCCCCCCTTGCGGTCATAGGGAGGGGACAGCTTGGCCGACAGCTTGGCCTCCATCTCGGCCACACGCTGCCCCAGTAGGACTTTCCTTTCCCCAGAACAGCCTGGCTTTCTTGGAACTCAGTCCTTGGACTCTCTGTCCCCCACCACGCAGGCAGCAGTGTCTGGCCTCCCACACACAGCTGCCCAGTTTCCTTGAATCTTCTCACCTGACCTGGTGCCACATTGTCCCACTGCAATCATGATGGGGGGCCCAGACCAAGCCTGGAGATCTCCTTGCAGATCCGTGCCTCACATCCTGGATGCCATCAGTGGCCACATGGATGGTACTCCCCACCTCTGTCCCCATTAACCTCCTTTCTAGTTGTCCTGACCCCAGGCCACACAGCCTGGACACCACCCTAACCCCAGGACTTCCCCCATTCAAATAGACACCCTCCTATCCTGAACATCCTCTCCTGGCCTGCAGGAGTGACTGGAGCTTCATCTAGCACAATTTGGCTCCAGGTGGCCCCTGCTGCTGGGAAGACATGGACAGATCCCTCTTTCAATCCCCTCAATACCTCCTCAGCACTCCTGGAGGCCCTAGTCCTAGGCTAAAGAGTAGATGAAATCCAGGATTCCTCTTTCATCCCAATTCCCCAAAGACTCAAGACCTTCATCATTGTCTCTGGAACTAGGCTCCTGGAATAGTCCATATCAGAATCACCGGATGGGAATTTAGATATGTGGATCCCATTCCCTCACTCTGAATCCTCATTCTAGGAGTGAGGTCAGGCATCTGTATTTTAACAAGCTTGTGGGTGATTGCACCCTGATGGTCAAGGAGGCTAGCTCTCATGGCATGGCTATGTCCCTTCCAAGTCCTCCCTCCCAGGGACCACTCTCTATATTGCCTATAGAGCCAGGCTAGTTGACAGGTGTCCACTCCCCATAGGTAGAGTCACTTAGTGGGTCACTTTGTGATGGCATTTAGCTTTAATGGGAAATTGTCCCCAGTTGTTCCTGACACCCGGACTAGCATGAGGACAAGAACCAGCCAAGTAGGAGAGGGAAACAGGGATCCACATTCAGGAGGAGAATAAAAATAATAAGGAGAGCTGGGCGCAGTGGTGCACGCCTGGAATCACAGCAGCTTGGAAGGCTGAAGCAGGAGGATCCCAAGTTCAAAGCCAGCCTCAGTGATTTAGCAAGGCTCTAAGCAACTCAGGGATACCCTGTCTCTAAATAAAATATAAAAAGGACTGGGGATGTGACTCAGTGGTTGAGTGCCCCTGGGTTTAATCCTCAGTACCAAAAAAAAAAAGAGAGAGAGAGAGAGAGAAAGCCCTTCATTTCTTCTGAGCACTGATGGACCTGAGGTGCAGTTGGTGGCAGAAACTAGGCAGATTTGAATCAATCACTGTTTTATAGAAGAAGTTGGGATCAATGGTTGATGGGAACAGGGCGTTATTGAAGTAGGAAATGTGGGAGGAGGAAGCTCAGATGGATGCCTGAAAGTTGGTTGAGGAGGAGCCAGAGGAAAGAAGGCCCCTGTGCAACTGAAATGTTTTCAAGACTACATGCAAACTTCTTCAGCTGCAAATACTCAAGTCCACTACATAAAAAATGTCATATCAAAATGATTACTTGTATTTTCAAAATGGTACAGTCCTATAACCAAAATTAAAACCTTTCATGCTTCAAAGGACACCATAAAGAACTTAGAAAGACAACCCATAGCATAGAAGAGAAATTCATATATCTGATAAGGGACTTATATCAAGAAATATAAAGAACCCAATTAAAAATGGGCAACGGAAACATGATGGCACATACCTGTAATCCCAGTGGCTCAAGAGGCTGAGGCAGGAAATCACAAATTCAAAGCCAGTCTCAGCAATTTAGCGAGGCTCTAAGCAACTTAGCAAGACCCTGTCTCAAAATAATAATTAAAAAAAGAAAAATAGGGCTGTGGTTCAGTGGCAGAGCTCTTGCCACACTTGAGGCACTGGGTTCAATTTTTAGCACCGCATACAAAAATAAGCAAAATAAAAGCAGGCTGTCCATCTACAACTACCAAAAAAAAAAAAAAAAAACTATGGATGTGCCTCAGTGGTTAAATACCCCTGGGTACAAAAAAAAAGTGGGGAGGGCAAAGGAACCAGGAGCCAGGAGCAGTGGTACATGTCTGTAATCCCAGCAATTGGGGAATCTGAGGCAGGAAGATCACAAGTTCCAGGCCAGCCAACTTAGTGAGACTCTGTCTCAAAAATAAAAAGGGCTGGGGGATTTAGTTCAGTGGTAGAGCACCCCTGGGTTTACTCCTCATAGAATGGAATGTCATTCAGCAGTAAAAATGAGTGAAGCATTGATTCAGGCTACAATATAGAAAAGACCTTGAAAATCTGATGCTTGGTTAAAGCAGCCAGACACAAAAGGCTACATATTGTATGATTCTATGCATATGAATGTCTAGAACAGGCAAATCTATAGACAGAAAATAAATAATTGATTGATAGAGATATTGGGGGATGGGGAGATAGCTATTTGGAAGTGATGGTTCAGGGGACAGATTTCTTTCTTTTTTCCTTTTTGTGGTACGAGGGGTGAAACCCAGGGTCTCATGAATGCTAGGCAAGTGCTGTATCACTGAGCTACACCTCTAGTGGAAAACAAATTTTTTTTTGTACCTGGGGTTTAACACAGGGGCGCTAGAGCACTGAGCCACTTCCCCAGCCCTTTTTATTTTTTATTTTGAGACAGGGCTTTGCTAAATTGCTGAGGCTGGCTTTGAACTTGCAATCTTCCTGCCTCAGCCTCTGGAGTCCTTGGGATTACAGGTGTGTGCCACAGCGCCTGGCAGAATTTCTTTCTTCTTCTTCTTCTTTTTTTTTTTTCCTTGTACCAGGGATTGAACTCAGGGGCACTAGACCACTGAGCCACATTTCCAGCCCTATTTTTTTTTTTTAATTTAGAGACAGGGTCTCACTGAGTTGCTTAGTGCTTTGCCATTGCTGAGGCTGACTTTGAACTTGCTATCCTCCTGCCTCAGCCTCTCACACAGGCATGCACCACCATACCCAGCCAGAATTTCTTTTTAAGATAATAGAAATATTCTAAAATACATTGTAATGATTTCCCAGTTCTGTGTATTGACTTGTATATTTTAATGGATTAACTGTATTGCATGTGAATTCTATCTCAATAAAGTTTTAAAAACAGAGCGTCTGGGCTGGGATTGCAGCTCGGTGGTAGAGCTCTTGCTCGCATGTGTAGGGCCCTGGGTTCAATCCTCAGCACCACATAAAAATAAATAAATAAAATAAAGGTATTGTGTCCATCTACAAAAAAAAATATATTAAAAAACAAAACACAAAACCAGAGAGTCTGCTGTGGATGGGGGCCCTAGGGGCAGCCATGGAGGCATTCATGGTATGGGGCAGACCATCTTCTGGAGGTGACACCCAGAGGAGAGGCTTCAGCTAAAGTAGGAGCAGCTCCCTTCTCCCTCTCCCTCTAGAACTCAAAGAAGGCTCAGGGGAGGTTTTGGCCTTCCTGGGCATGCAAAGCGGGTTCCAGACAGTGCTGTGGGCTCCTCAGCAGCAGCAGGTGACAGACAACTAGTCTAGTGAGCACAGGGGAACCTCTCACACATCCTCTGTGAGCTACAGAGGTTGTCTCAAGTTCCCTTCAAGGGTATTTTGGGATCCATTGAATCCCCCTCAAATTCATATATTGGAGTCCTAAACCCCAGGACTTTAGAATGTACTCTCATGTGGAGAGAGTCTTTGTAAAGGTTACCAATTAATAAAGTTACCAAGTAATAAGACCATTAGTGTGAGCCCTAATCCATTAGGACTGGTGTCCTTATAAAAATTGGAAATTTAGCCGGACACAGTGGCACACGCCTGTAATCCCAGTGACTCAGGAGGCTGAGACAGGAGGATTGCAAGTTCAAAGCTAGCCTCAGCAACAGCGAGGTGCTTAGCAACTCAGTGAGACCCTGTCTCTAAATAAAATACAAAAAGGGTGGTCGAGTGCCCCTGAGTTCAATCCCCAGTACCAAAAAATAATAAATAAAAAAAATTAAAATTGGAAATTTGGGCACAAATCCCTGATGCCAAGTGAACCGGAAGGTGGCCCTCTAAAAACCGGGAGAGAGGCCTGGAACAAAATTTCCTCCCAGTCCCTCAGAAGGATCCCACTTTGGACACACCAAATCTGAGACTGCAGCCTCCACTCTGTGAGACGATTGAGGCCGGTGGCTAAGCCCCTGTGTTGTGGCGCATTGACCCACTGGCCTGGAAAACCCCACCAAGGGCAGGGTAGAGCTGTGCTGAACTGGCCAGGAGAGAGTAACCAGGGCAGCTAGCTGAAGTCTGACAGAAAACTGTAGAGGAACCTCGTGCTGAGAGGCCATGACGCAGGAGGGGTCAGGAGGGGCTGGCCAGCCAGGCAGAGAGTCACTGGCAGAGAGTCCTGAGGACTGGTCCTATCCCCTGAGGGAACAGCACTGCTGCAGCGCCCATACCATCTACAAGGCCCCTGGCCTCACGGGCCCACCCCAGCTCCTGGCAGGTCCTATCTTCCTGTGACTCAGCAGCTGCACCAGAAGCTTCTCTGGAGTCTAGCCAGGTGCAGATCCCTGCAGGCACCTGGTCAGCATTCTACACGGAACACTACCTCACTGGGCTGCCTGCCCTCACCTGAACTCTGGAGCTTCCCACCTGCATCCCAAGTCCATACTGTTATCTTTGTGTTTATTTTGCATGCTGGGGATCGAACCCTGGGCCTGGCTAAGCACATCTCTGTGCTGAGCCACACCCTCAGTTCCTCTGCTCCTCTCTCTCAGGTTGGGGGCTGGTGAATAGACCTGTCCTGACTCAGACAGCCCATCCTAGCTCTGAGAGTGCCGAAAGCGGAGGTCGGGGGATCAACAAGGGACAAACCCCTACTCCCTGCCCCAGGAGACTCAGGCTCTTCTGCTTCTCCTTCTCCTTCTATCTCTTTGAATCTGAACTACTGACCCTTCTTCTTGTCCTAGGGGAGGCTCCACCCTCCAACCGCCTCCCTCTTCTGCTCTTAAAGCATCTAGGGCCTCCCTCCTGGGGCGGCCCTCAGCTGATCTTTGAGCTAGAAGAACTGGGAAGAGAAGGTGACTGCTTCACTGGGGGTCAGACCCCTGGGGACAAGGCCAGACCAGATGGTGGGGTCATCCTGGGGAGACATCTGGGGTCTAAGGCCAAGGACTCTCTGGGGAGGTGGCAAGGAAGCTTTCTGAGTTTTCCCCTAATCTGTTCCTCTCTAGCAGGCCAAACCCTGGAACCCTGAGTCACAATGTGCTACTCTAGGGTGAGTAGGAGCAGGCAATGGGCTGGGCTTAAGGCCTGTCTCCCAGGCCATGACCCTTCCCTGCCTGCTCAGTCCTCCATGTTCACCCTGCTCTGCCCTGTTCTCCCTGGGCCTTGGTGGAGGAGGATTGCAGGGAGCAGGGCTCATGGGAAGAACAGGCCCCAACTCAGGATGGCTCAGCTCAGCTAAGAAATTACTGTCCAGTAGACCCACAGCTTCCTTGGGCTCCCAGTCCTTTAAATGATATTAGCAGGCCAGGCAGGAGGCACATACCTGTAATCCCAGCGGCTCAGGAGGGTGAGGCAGGAAGACTGAGAGTTCAAATCCAACCTCAGCAACTTAGCGAGGCCCTAAGCAACTCAGGGAGACCCTGTCTCTAAATAAGATATTTTTAAAAAGGGCTGGGCATGTGGCTCACTGGCAAAGTGCCCTTGGGTTCAAATGCTGGTGCCCTCCCCCCTAAAAAAATGACATTAGTAAGTCCTGGTTATGGGGGCCTGGGAGGTAAGTTGTGGGCACCACTCTCTGGGAGTGTGAAAAAAGGTAATCAGGGCCCCCAGGGGCGAAAAAATAGAGTTAAGTGATGGACAAATAGGTCAACCTGCCCTCAGGTCCAGCCAGGTCCCTGTCCTATATGCTGTGTGGCTATAGAAGCAGTGGCTGGAGGAGCTGTTTCTGACCTCTGCCTAGCCCTAGCAAAGTTCTTCCCTTGCCAGCTCTTACCCAGTGTTGTAGTTTGTGTGGATCCACAGTCTGGGGTTGTCAGGGAAGGATGGACGCAGCATATACTTCCTGGTCCAGGACAATGTCCAGACGTCGCTCAGTGGCCCATCTGGGGTTAAAAACCCCACCTAAATCTCTGGTCAATTAGGTTTGTTTATGGTGCCTTGTCTGTGTGTGTCTCACTATTGGTCTCAGTCTCATTATGGGTCAGAGTCAGCCCACTTCATGTTCATTTTGTACACCCCTTAAATGTTCTTTTCGTCTTACTTTAAAGAGTTTTCAAAGAGAACAACTAATGATAAAACATCATGTAATGCTTCCTCTCTCAGAAAACTTTGTGAATTAGACTGGCCAGGCTTTAAAGTTGGATGGCCCTCAGAAGGGACCACCAACCTCTCTACCTCCTATCAAGTTCACAGAGTCATTTCCGGGCAGCCTGGCCATCCAGATCAGTTACCCTGTATATAGGTTTGGATTAAAATCCTCCTAGAAGAGCCAAGATGGTTAAGATTTTGCCTTATAGGAACAGCTAGAAAACAAACCTGAAACTCTCTTGCTAACAAAACCTTCCGAGAATGTGGATCTTCCTCCTCTGGATCCCTCTGCCCTTTAGGAGCCAAGTTCCCCCTCGATGCCTAAGCCTTCCCATTTTTAATATATACATGTATTATATATATATTCCTTTTTCTACTGGTAATTTCTCTGTTAAAATCAGAAGAAGGGGCTGGGGATGTGGCTCAAGTGGTAGCGCGCTCGCCTGGCATGCGTGCGGCCCGGGTTCGATCCTCAGCACCACACACAAAGATGTTGTGTCTCTCTCTCTTAAAAAAAAAAAACTATTTATAAAATCAGAAGAAAAGCCACAAAAACTACTCTCAGTGTTGATGGCCAACTCTCTGAAGGTCCAACTCAAGGGGAACTCATTTTCCCTTCAGTTTGTCCCGATTGAACAAACACGGGTAAGAAGGTGACTAAGCGGTGTGCCAGGCTCCACCTAGAGAAAGCAAAGCAGCTGCTACAATACCCACCAATTTGGTAAAGGTAAGCAAGACAATTCAAGGACCAGATGAGCACCCGGCTGCTTTCCTGGAGTGAGGCTTAATGTGTGTAACCGATAGACCCAGAGGCTCCAGAGAATAGAAGTGCTCTTAATATTGCTTTTGTGACTTAATCAGCCCCAGATATTAGGAGAAAGTTACAGAGACAGGAAGGATTTAAGGGAAAAATGCTGTCAGAATTGGTAAAAATAGCCCAGAGGGTCTACAATAATAGAGACTCCCCCAGGGGCTGGGGATGTGGCTCAAGCGGTAGCGGGGCTCGCCTGGCATTCGTGCGGCCTGGGGTTCGATCCTCAGCACCACATACAAACAAAGATGTTGTGTCCACCGAAAACTGAAAAATAAATATTAAAAATTCTCTCTCTCTCTCTCTCTCTCTCTCTCTCTCTCTCTCTCTCTCTCTCTTTAAAAAAAAAGAGACTTCCCCAAAGAGAAGCAGGCTAAAAGGTTAACAAGAGTTGGGGTAGTGGCTATGTCAGAATCTCAAGGCGCCTTAAGGCCTCAAGCTCCTAGACAACAATGCCCAAGGGCTTCACTCCCTAAATACCAATAGCCCCCGGGAAGAAAAACTAAAAGGCCAATTTCTAATGAGAACAGACTTTAAAAAGGGGACAATAACTTGTTCCTTGTGAGGCACAGCCAACCTGTCATTTAAAGGGCCAGAAGCTATTATATATACTTGTCCAATTGGAGAAGAATACCTACTCTCTCTCTCTCTCTCCTTTTTTTTTTAAGGTGTAGATGGACACAACACATTGCCTTTATTTTTATGTGGTGCTGAGGATTGAACCCAGGTCCCGCCTGTGCTAGGCAAGCACTCTACCGCTGAGCCACAATCCCAGCTCCAGAATACCTGCTCTTAACAAAAGACACCCCACCTTCCGATCCCCTCACAAAATTCCAAAAAGAAATCCCAGGGGTCTGGACAAAACCAATTCTCCTAGCGGTGCACCAGTCACCTCTTACAGTGCAGCTCACCAGCACTGGAAGGCTTAGGCATTGAGGGGGAAACCCGGTGTCTGAGGGGCAGAGGGATCCGGAGGAGGACAGTATCCTATCAGACAGTATCCTATCAGACTGAAAGATAAAA